CATAGCTTTGAAATGGAATCAAGGAAAAGAAAGGAGCCACAAGTCGTAGCTCAAGGCTCTATCAAACAAACATCTGATGGGATTATACATTTATTGATTAAATCAGCTAAATGAGAAACTAGTTTAAGGAGCTCAGTTAGACATAAATAAAAAACACATGAGTTTAAATAAATAAGTTTACTGGGAATAGGTGGCAGACCCCCAACTTTTTCTTCAAGATTATGAATATAGTTAAAATCACCAACAATAAGAAAAAAACCAAATAGTACATGCTAAAGTCAAAGATCTTTCTTACGAAAAGCACAATTGTCAGAGTAGACAATAGTCATAAAAATATTGGCATATGCTGAGGCATTCAATAACTCATGGATGTATTGAGGATGAGTTTCGTAACTGAAAAAAATATTTGTTGAATTTCAATTAATCTAGATGCATCCATTCTAAGATAAATGAAAGTTCTGAGCATTGTCTTCATTAGGAAAAATAGAGAAGTATTTAGAAGATGACATTTCAATGACAAAAATAATGCTAACCTTGATCTCAACTAGACAAAATAGTTCAAGCTTATGGTCTTTAGCAATTTTTCTACGATCAATAACAAAAATATCAGTGTTGAAATCTCTCACATTCCAAGAAGTTATAATGGAAAAAATACTAAAAAAAATTATAGTCGGGACGAAGAAGCGCCTCCTTTAGGACTTCATTTACTAAGTTTAGAAGTGTTGGAAAGGGCTGAGATATTTGGTTGAGTAGAATGATTCAACAACAAACACTTTTCCAAAGAACGCATTCAGTTAGAAGTCAGGTAGAGAATAATATTTGGCTAATTCTTCAAAGTGTTAGTTGGGTGCATGTTTGACGCAAAGAGGGGATTAATTTGTTGGTTTCATTCATGTTTGAGGTCATGTAAGGGATTAATTTGTTGATTCCCTCAGCACATCAAGAAGGGAATTTGTTGACTGAAGAGTTACTATTTTCAAGTGTGACAACAAGGGTATCAAGCTAGATACAGGGGATGTAGAGGGAAGCTGTGGCAAAAAAAAAATTTACTCTGTTTGTTGAGAATTCTACAGATGATAGCTCCATTCCCTTTCCAGCTACGACTCATGCAATGATTGAAGAAAAATATCGCGGGAGATGGGGGAGGGAAGTGGGTTAAAGTTTAGGGATTTAGAACAAATATTGTGGTCATGAACAAAACAATATTGCACAGATTGTACTCTGATGATCTCCACTCATAGATGATGAGTTGTTGGACGTCCTTGCCTTTAATATTTATGTGATGAAGTCCGACAAGATAGATTTGGTATTGATCTGAATAGCACCATAGCAAAAATGCGGCAAGTTCATTTGACTTTGGAATGGTCAATAGCTAAGGGATCTCTTATTACACTCACAATCTTTGAAATATCACTTTTTGACCAACAACACAAAGTTAAGCTAGATAAATACATTATGAAAACTCAAATGTACGATTGAACTTATTTCTCTCACTAAATGCTTTTTTTTAAAATTCACTAGCCATAAGGACCTGAATATGAATCTGAAGGGAGGACCGTGTTTCATTAATAATAAATCTTTTATTTTCAAGAAATTGACCCCTGATTCCAACTTATCAAGGAAGATTTTAAGAAGATTCCTATTTGGGTTAGGTTCTCCAATTTACCTCTCTGTTAATGGTCGGAAAGTAGCATTTCAAATATTGTGAGTATGATAGAAGTTCACTTAGTTGTTGACCCTCTCACAGAAGTCATCTCATTTTTACTAAGGTGAGTAAACCAATCAATACTAAATCTATCTTATCAAACTCTATGCCTATAAATTTTAAAAGCAATGACGTCTGACAACTCATTATTTGTGAGTGGAGATCGTCATCTTATAAATTTTGCAATACTTTTTTTGCATAATCACAATGCTTGACACAAATCCTCAAACTTTAACCCCTGAACTTTCCCCTTAATTGTGGCAGGTGTGGCACCGAGAAAGAGATTGACCTATCATTCCTAGAAGCCTCAGCAAAAAGTGAAACTTTCTTGTCATAACGTTCCTCTAAACCCCTGTATACGACTTCAATATCCTCACTACCATACCTGAAAATAGCAATTTCTCAACCAATAAATTCCCTTTCTGGTGTGTTGAGAAAACCAACAAGTCAATCTTCCACCTGACCTCACCCAACAAACGCTTAGGAGAAACAATCAAACACACTTCTCAATCAAACTTTTAGTTGACTGATATCTTTGAAAAAAATATTCCTTGACATATTCTACATAACTAAATACCTCAATCTAACCTCATATTTTTAAAACCAATAAATAAAAAGCAAAAGTTGATAATCCTCCTTCCCAACAATAATTTTCTTAATATTTTTTCACAACATAGCTTTTTAGTATGCGAGGAGTTTTAGCAATGATATTTGTATCACTGATTGTAAAAAAAATTATTTAATATCGTAAGCTTGACCTCTTATGTTGTTTTGTGACAAAGTTTAACACGATTCTATCTCTGACCTGATATCTTCACAACAATTCTTTTTTCTTCATTCCTAATCTCAAGTATTATGGCCTTCGTAGTGTGTCCATCAAACAAATTTGGATCCGACACTCCCCAGTTTAATAATGACAAACAAAGAATCAAAACAGTTAATAGAGCTGAGCTCTTCTAGGAGTCCATACAAATTAAAAATTATATATATATATAGATATATATATATATATAAAATTCTTATGTATTTATACATTTAAAAACCAAATCTTTAACGTATGTTTATGTCACAGTAGCACATGAATAGTACCAAAATAGTGCAATTGAAATATATTGTATTTTAACTATTTTAATTTTTGCATTGGATGTTAAACAAATGGATGTAATATGTTTTTGTATTTGATTTGAAGTAAAATAAGTCAATGTAAACATCAATGGCAAACGCCAGTGCTGTCGCTCGTTGCTGTAACAACTGCTAGTAACTGCGCATGGTGATGACAACTAACTCCTATCGGTTTTGTTGTACATAAAAATTGGCTAATTTAGCCTAATTTTGACTCAAAACGAACCAAAAGGGTGAGTTACATAAATAGTCAAAAATTAAAAAATTTATGCTATATTTCTTTTATATCAAATCTAATGCCAATTTTTTTTAAATCCCTGCATTTACTTTGCATCAATCCAACAATTTTAGCACCAAAAGCCTCTAAATAGGCATAAAAATACAAAGGACTCGGAGAGTTAGTTCACATGACTGAGTTGTTTGGATGAGATCAAAGTAGGCCATGAAAGATCCTATGCACTAAGAGTAACGCATAGAATATTAGCAAGAGCTAGAGAGAAAGAGAAAGAGAGAACGTTCGTAACAAAACAAATAAATGTTAGCATCATTATCTCCTTAGCTACTTCACCAAGCTCAATGCGATTCAGATTAAGAAAAGCTTCATCTTCTCAATATGAATCCGGATACCAAACCACCTAAGAAAATTTACGAGACCAGGTACGTGAAAACCTCAAAAAACAAGGTTTAAGAACCGAGGACTTCACAAAACCTAACCCTAAAATTGATTACGATACCTGTCTAAAGATCAAGAACAATGCCATCACAAAATACACAAAACAACATTGGTAAAACCCTAACCTTAAAGCCGAGCAGGAAAGCCGTAACAGAAAAAATGGTTGCCAATCGAGACATGGAAATAAGAACCCGTCGAAATACGAGAAATGAAGACAAAAACGAGTTCGAGAGAGAAATCTCGCCATGACACCTCGTGTGATAGAGAAAAAAAAAAACGATACGGTGATAGGAGAATATTCTCCCTTGTGTTATGTATTGTTGCGTGTTATTCATGTGTTATTGTGTGTTATTCATGTGTTATTGATGTGTTATTGTGTTATTATAACATCAAGAATATTCTCATGACACAATAACACATGAATAACACACAATAACACATGAATAACATGGGGAATATTCCCGACAGAGAAAAAACGTCGCAATAATACGGGGGAATATTTTCACCAGTGTTATTCATGTGTTATTGTGTGTTATTCATGTGTTATTGTATTATTATAACACTAGAAATATTCCCAGGACACAATAACACATGAATAACACGTAATAACACATGAATAACACGGGGGGAATATTTCCCATGTTACTGTGCCGTTTTTTTTCTCGGTTGCACAGGGTGTCGTGGTTTGATTTCATTGGCTACGCACGTTACTCTACGTGCGTAGTACTGATGTAATATTTTTTCCAAGAGACAGAGGAAAGAGATGAGAACAATAACGAGTGATTGGCGGAATGGGTAAAAAATTTGCTTAATTGAGGGTCATATAACTTTAAGTAATCTCTGCGATTCACATCTCTATAATTTACATGAAAGGTATATAAAAATTGTAAGGAATATAACTTGAATATACTCAGTGTTGCGTACGTTTATGTACGCAAATTTTTTCCCAAATTAAGGGTGAGAATATTAGAAATAATGAAGAGCCATTTGAGTTGTTAGTTGAGAAATGAAGACATAAACGAGTCAAGAGACAGAAGAAAGAGATGAAAACAATAATGGCTGATATTAACTTTAAGTAATCTCTGACTAAGATATTGGTGTCTATTTTCACATATTATAAGTTACATAAAAGTTGTACAAAAATTATAAGGAATATAACGTGAATATATGCAGTGTTGCATAGTTTATGTATGCAAATTTTTTCTCAAATTAAAGGTGAAGTTATTAGAAATAATGAAGAGCCATTTGAGTTGTTAGTATGTAAATATATAAGTGTATTAAGGATATAAATTGTTATGTTTTAGATGGTTGATATGTAAGAATTCAAAATTTTAATCCTTGTTGGCTTATTATATATTTTAAATTCCTGAGGAAGCCAAATAAATACACATTTAGATTTATAATATAAGTGTTATAAAAGTAAATATCAAATGTCGGATGTTTGAGATGTAAATAGATATGAATTGTGTGGTATGTATGTAAATTTCTCTTACCATTATTGTTAGCCTTATTCTTCATCGAGACCTCTCGCCGTCTCGTTATTTCATCTCCATTTCCTTTTTTCCCATTCCAACCCTGTTTCCTCTCCGAGCACTGTAATCCATGACGATCCGCCGGCTCCTAAACCTAGCCCGCCGCTCTCGCGTCCTCCAGCAGGCC